CGGTTCTTTTGCTCGCCCCTAGGCCCTAACTAAGTAGCAAGTAGTTTTGGTAAATGAACTCAATACAATTTTGTTCTAATTTGGAAGTTTTGAGATATTCCCAAATTAAAATGAAACAATACAAATAATTGAACGTGAGCTTGGAAGTAAACTTTTCAAAACCCCCAAAAGCAACACCGTAAGAAAACAAAACTATATTTTGTTCTCAGTATTTCCAAACTATATGAAAACACAAAGTTTTACATTTTACTGATAACTTGGGTTTAAACAATTTACAAGAAAAAATTATCGATGAAACGTGTCCTCACAGAAACTGGGATTGTCACATTGTGAAGTCCATCACTCCAAGTCAAACTCCCCAAGAAAAACGCAGTGTTCACTCTGTGTAAGACCGTTGACACACTCACCGTAAACTTAGCCTTGTTGGTTCCTTTGTCAAACACTAGCTTCTCCGGCGAGACCACGACGTCGAATCCAAAAGGAGACTCGATCACAGGTGTGTAAACCGAATCCACGGGTCCAACATTGGTCACCGTTCGTGTCACTGTAATGTTTCCCTTGAGGTTTGGTATGGTAATGGATGGTACGTTGACGTCAAGAATCGATGAACCTGAGGTCGGACACTTAGTAGTGACGTTTCCGGTTATAGCAGAAACTCTCCTGTCTGTGTAAAGAGCTGCGGAACACAAGTATTGTATGTAATCATTCATGTCCATGTCGTATACAAGACCAGGATCTGTGGCTTTCTCCATATTAACAAGACCTCCTCCGTAATCGAATATATCTGCTTCCTTACGGTTACCTCCATCTGTAATCACACGCTCGCCGTATGGATCGGTTTTCATGGCTGAAACACACAGAGAGTTTGTGTTTAGCTGATGGTTTTTTAATGAAAATAGAGTTTTAAAGAGACATATAAACTAAACCTGTTGTGACAAGAGCTGATTTGATAGCAGCAGGAGACCAATCCGGATGCGAAATCTTGAGGAGTGCTACGATTCCTGCAATAACCGGAGTTGCCATTGATGTTCCTGAGTAAGCGAATTCGCTGGTGTCTTGGTCTGTCGGTATTTTAGATGTTACTAAGGTCAGACCCGGGGCTGCTATGTCCGGCTGCATTACAAGGAGAAAGGAAAAAAAGTTTGAGCAATATAATCCAGATTTTGTATTCCGGAATAAGAGATGAATGAAACAAAACCTTAAGGATGGCGGGTGAAAATGAACTAGGCCCTCTCCCCGATGATGCTCCGACTTTACTTGCTACACTGTCACCAATTATTGTCTTGTATGGGCTTATCTTAATCTTGGGTGAGCTGTAAAGAAACAAAAAAACAAAAATTTAGATTCTCATATGTGAGAAGATAAGCATGTTAATTTGACCGAGCGATGTTTGTGAAGATAACCTCGCAGTTTCGAAGTAGAAATGTAACTCGGTTCCAAAGTCATAGTCCATGTAGATACAGGGAAAGTTTTCGGGACATTCAAAAAAGCTACGATCCCTCGTATCTCTCACATAAATTACACCGATACCACCATTTACCTTAACAATTTCGGGACTAGGCGGAGCCTCAATCGAATAGAAGTACACCATGACTGCACCCTTTTTTATTTGATCAAGATTATCAAGACTAGAAAACACTGCAGCGAAGCCAATTTCTGGTCCTGTGTACAGACTCTCACCCTGAAAGCAGGTCAACGTGATTATCAATCACAAGCTTTGTATCGTAGGGGTTCAAAGTTAAAACGTAATATAAATTATATATACCAGTAACGTTTTATTGTTCTCAAGTGTGATCAATGTGGCAAAAGACCGGTCAAGGCTAGTCGCAGCCACGGTTAATATCCATGGAGACACGTTAATGACCGATGAAGTGTAGGGTCCTCCGTTACCAGCTGGAGAAACAACAGTAATGCCTTTATTCACAGCGTGTAGTGCTGGAATTGCAATATCGATTTCAACATCAATAGCTTTACGCACTAATGAGGTGCCGATAGAAACAGACAAAACATCAACACCATCGTGAATGGCTTCATCAAAAGCTTTCCAGATATCAGCAACTGAACACATCCCTCCTTCCACATCCCAACATGCTTTATACATCGCTATATGCGCCTTAGGAGCGCCACCTCTCATGGTTGAACCAGAAGGGAGACCGGGAAACGTAACGTTAGAAACAAACGAACCAGCTACCAATGAAGATACTTCAGTCCCGTGGCCATTATGATCTCTAGGAGATATATATTCTGTAGTACTGTTGATAGTTCTTTCAAGATCCGCATTAAGACCATCAATGTAATACGTAGCTCCAATAAGCTTTCTGTTGCAATCTGCAGGACTGAACTGTCCCCCAGATACGCACTGTCCTTTCCATTTTTTTGGTATGGGTCCATATCCATTGTCATCGAAGACGCCTGATTCTGACCATATCCCTGCTCATATAATCTCGAGATTGTTAAAGTCCTGCTTACAAAAGTTGAGAGCGAAACAGATTTGCTAGAGAGATTGATAATATACCAGAGTCTATAACGCCCATAATAGCACCACTGCCCATGTTGGTTTCATGCAGAAGACCTTTAGAAGACGTTGGAGTAGAAAAAAGGCCCAAGTAATCCCATGTCTGTGTCGTTTGCATCTCAAGTTTTCGGTTTTCCAGAAAAATAATAACTTCAGGATGATCTAGTAGACAGAAATACAGAAAAAGGTTTAATAAAAACACATTCTGTGTTTAGAATTATGAAGAGCTCATAAATAAGGGAGAATCATGTGATAAAGAATAATACTTTTCAATATCTCTGCCTCGGCAGGTTTGAGCTTAGCTGCAAAGCCAGAAAATCCATGGTTATAACTGTAGACCAACGACTTCATGGCTGCTTTAAAACTGTAACACAAGAATCAAACCAGAAAAACAATTCAATTGTGACTACCTCAGAAACTAAGTTATAAACCCAATAATCTTCCATGCAACCACTCTTTTTACCTTCCACGAACTGATTTCAAGATTTCAAGGTGTGACCGAATCACCAACTTACGATCATCGTGTTTCCTTTCCCCCAAGTAAAATATATAAACCTATTTTTATCAGACAATAACGAACACATTAGCAATTACAACAATCTTTTTGTCTTCACATAACTATAACAATTAGACTAGATACCGGGAATTCAGGGACAAAAGGCGGCACTTCAATCGGAATGGGGTCGTCCACATTAGGCGGATCGGGGAACAAACGAGGAGGAAGCGGCGAGTCGGCAAAATTTGATGCTTGTGGAGGATCGGCCTCGCCGGGTGTTGTTGCAATGCTAAGCTTTCCATTCATGATTAACACAAAACCAAATGCTATCGCAACAAAACACAATCTAAAAGAACGATCCATTTTCAAGAGTTTTTCACTCTTTACTGAAAATGTTTCTTCTTTTTCCTTTTTATTGAGATAGAAACTGCTTTGAGAACATTCTTCAAGCTTTTTCTTGTTTTAATAGACAGATCATTTTTTTAAAGCTAAACTGATTAACAAACTCAGGTCAAAAACTGACAAGAAACAACCAATACACATAATGACTGTATCTTGCAGAAAATAAACATTGTAACTACTAACAGCAAAAAGAAAACGAAGCGTGAAAATGGATGTCATTGTCATGATGGTTACGCATATGCTAAATTTAGAATATAATTATAACATCTAAGGTTAAAAACTTAAATGGATACAAAAAATTGAAATGCAATAATGACATCTGTGTTAGGGTTGCAGAAATAGAGATAACAGATGTTCTTATTTTGGTGGAATCCAAATTAAGTGTGTATGGATAAGAATGGCATCTAGTTAACTAAATCATTGATGACAGTTGGCAAGAAATTCATCTCTTCTAAATTTATAAAAAAAAAATATTACACAGAAGTTTCTACCAAAATAGTAAAAAGCATTTCTACAGAATTGAAGTTATAGTAAAATGCTAATTTTATTGCTCAAGTGTTTCAGTCAGTGAAACTTCTAACCGTACGAACAAACAAGAACATACAAGTCTTATGACATAGTGAAGCAGATAAACATCGTACACATAGAATATGACACATAAGAAATTCATACAGCTTTAGATGTAGTGAGAGAACTATGATTTTAAAACAAGAAGTAGGAGGAACTGACAACGGATTTGTGATCTTTCCCTAAATGACGACCACGGAGGCACTCAAGATCCATAATCTGAGAATGATCCACATAGAGATTCACCTGAAAGAATCAAGAAGAAGAGACAAGAATCTTGTGAGGATAACAATTTAAACAGCTGATGTATAAATGATTGAGAGGAGTATCAGTAGATACATTTGGACCGTAACGTTTGATGAACCATTCAGCCAACTTCACATCAGATGCTTCGAACATAGTCTTCTCTATTCCTAGCCGTCCTATGACCTTGGCGATTATATCTGCTCGGAGAGAATCTGCGTATTCGCAGACATCATCTGCATCGATCATAATTGTATCTGCCCCAGCTTCTAAACACCTTTCAGCCTTTCTGATCAAGAGATCTATGTCCTCAACAAACTCTGTGAAACAAGGTGCTCTCACAGTAAGCATGTAAATCAGAAACCATCAGTGCTCGTCAAACAAAAAACACAGAATCTCTTACCGCTTGATCGAGGTTCTGGAACAACATAGGAACCAAATGCTCTATTCTTCCCAGGAATGTCAGACTTGTTGAATTTCACAGCAAACATAGGTTTGGCTCTGAGACCACCGTTCTTAATCAAACGTACATATCGTAGAAGTGTCTCCTCAGGGATTTCAAGCAAACTTGCATTCAGCTCAATTGTATCAAACCCCAACTGCTTACACTCCTGTAAAAGAAACACAATTAAGCTCACAATTCTCCTCAAATACCAAACTTTCCCTATGGATTCCTACTTCCAAAACTAACTTTACCTCAACATACTCTTTGAAAGATGAAGGACCACTACGAACCATATGTTCAGCCCAATCCCCAGTGCTAACATAAACATCATGTTCATGAGCCATTTCAATGGCTTGTTTGATGAATGATTTTGGAATCAAACTGTTCGAGCCTCCCGAGAACTTTAATCCATCAACAAATTGCCCCATCGAATCGAAAATCTCCTACAAATACGATTAATCGTACAAAATCCTTTTATCAGAAATTCGCTAAACTCTTTACTCTCAATCAAAATCGTCCTTCACCATCAAATCACAAAACATAACCCTAAATTGGAAGAGACAAATTGTATTTAAGGATCGTTTTCTGGGAAATTAAGTACCGAGAAACTGCAGAACCTAGTAATGGTGATGGAATTCGGAGTACCTGAAGAACGTTTTGGCTGAGAACGGAGTAACGAGGACCGCGCATCTCCGTGACACCGTAACGGCGAGGCTTCTCCGGACGATCTTCGTTCTCCTCGAAGCTTTTCCATCTGTAGTAACCCGCCATTTCCACCACCTCC